GGCTAAAGACCGAGCACTTGAAAACCAATATTCGTAAAGCTGAGATACTGTCTAATATGTAACAAAAAGTGGTCGAAAATGACCACAAAACGATCGAAATAAAATGAAATGTAATAAAAGGAAATGAAACGAAATGAAAACAAATAAAATGTAAGGAAAAAAATTAAAATAAATAAAATGAAAAAAAAAAAGAAATGAAATGAATTGAAATGAAATAAAATGAAATGAATTGAAAAGAAATGAAATTAAAAGAAAAGAAATGTAATGAAAAGAAATAAAATTTAAGGAAAGAAGTGAAAAAAAAGAAAAAAACAAAATAAAGTGAAATGAAATGAATTGAAATGAAATAAAATGAAATAAAATGAAATGAAAAGAAATGAATTGAAATGAAATGAGATGAAATAAAATAAAATATAATTTTTTTTATTCTATGATACGCGGTTGAAGATTTGGTTATTGAATTATTTTCTGAAATATTTAATAATAAATTTTCAGTCATTTTTTATCTTTCGAGATAAAAATGCCCTTTCGAGATCTATATATAAACTGTTAAATTCAACCGCTTGATTCCTTCACTTCAAGCATTGCTTCTATTGTATTTCCTTTATTTAATGAATTAAGTAATTTATTTACATTTAATAATAAATTCCAACGTATAACTAATCGAATATACCGTACCGTACCATTACTTGCTTAGATGCCGTCGTATTTCTCTTCTCGCTTTTGTGCGAAATCTGCGACGTCATGTATGTATATGTGCATACGAGATGTGTTCAAAAAATATCGCGAATTTTGTGTTTTTTTTCAAAAATTATTTATTTATTCATGAATATCTATTTTGTCCCCTTCAAAGCAATCCCCATGAGATATTACACACTTGTGCCAACGGTTTTTCCAATCTTCGAAGCACTTCAAAAAATCATTTTTTTTTATCTTAATCAGCTCCTCCTTCGATGCCGTCTTTATCTCGTCAATCGTAGCGTAACGTCGTCCTTTCATGGGCAAGCAAGAAAAAGGGGAATACGGTGGCTGCGGCATCAACAAGCAACGATGTGTGAGCAGGGGCGTAATCGTGGTGCAAAAGCCAATTTTTGTTCTTCCACAAATCCGGGCGTTTCTGGCGGATTGCTTCGCACAAATTGTGCATAACTTGCAGGTAATATTCCTTATTGACCGTTCTTCCCTGTGGCAAGAACTCATGATGCACCACGCCCCTGCAATTAATTTCTTCGTCTGTTGTTGAAGTGCTCGTTCACATCTTCTCGGCCTTCTGAGAGCATTTTGTACCACCGATAAACGTTGCTTCGGTCCAAGGTAGCTTCTCCGTATGCCACAGTCAACATTCGGAATGCATCCGCGCACTTAATTTCGTTTTTCACACAAAATTTTATACATATTCTTTGATCCATTTTTTTGAATGGGTAAAAATCGAAGACCATCCAAAACACGTGCAAGCAAAGCAGCTGTCAACAATTAAGTGAACATTCAAAATGGTCGAGCTTGTCGGCATTAGTCGGAGAGACATGAGTACCAACATAACGCCACAAAAAAATCGAAATTCGATTATACGTAACCCGCAAAAATTCAAAATTCGCGATACTTTTTGAACACACCTCGTATGTACATGTTCATGTATGCCTGAGTGCGAAGCAAATGCGCCGAGTAACGAGTAACTTGTCCTCAACTGTTTCATTACGGTTGTTTATTGATGTGCTATTATATTATTGCTGCATTTGATATTGCAATTGCCGTTAGTCTGCTGCATAGTGCAAACTGTGCTTTTATTGTAACGCTTATAACAATTGCTTTCAGTTGTACATATACATACATGAGTGTGTTTGGTGTGTTTGTTGTGGCTGTTGCAAATAGCAAATCTATGCATAAAAGCTATAAACATACGCATGCAACAATAATGTCTGCATACATACCTAAATATGTATGTAAATTGTTGTATATTGTTGTATATTTATATTGGATGTGTGTAGCCTGTTTTATGATCATCGATTTTTCGTTGAAAGCACCAGCATTTCATTGTAGCAATCGAATAATACAGCAAATATGCTTATGTATGTGTGTATGTATAATGAATACAGAATTTTATATAAAAAAGAAATGAAGGAATATCTTTTCATAACTTTTGTCGCTATCGCTCTCGGTCTCTCGGTCTCTCTCTCACTCTATCTCTGCAGTGTTGCTGCTGGTTGGCGTGGCAACATTTGAAAGGCCAGGAGTTCAGTCCAAGGCAATCGCAATCAATTCATACTGCTGCAACCACTTGCAACTAGAGGAGCAACAACATAAGCTTAGTAATAACCACACAACAACTGCAACAACAACACCAACCATGAAGAGCATACAACAATAATAAGAAGGAAAATTATGTTGCAAGCAACTTGGTTAGTTACTAGTATTGTTGTTGCTACTGGCATTATTGTGATTGTTGTTGTTGTTTTGGAAAAAACGGTTCTTTTGTTCGCCTCCTGCAACAAGTGGCATTCACCAAAACAATCGTTCGCCTATTCTATTCGCGTTTATAGTGTGGCTGTAGTTGTTGTAGTGACAGCTATTACTATTTGCTGTTCAGACACAATCACAATTGGCCGCAGTTGATACTGTTAGTTATAACTCGTGCTGCTGTTGCATTGATTTTACCATTTACCATTTACTGTTTGTTTGTACTCTGGTACAATTTGTAGTATGGATGGATCACATCTAGACGACATATTTGCTGTGGCAAGTATGCAATATAGGCATACATACATGCATAGATTTTAGTACACACATATGTATGTACTCATAAGTGGTATGTGCATGTCAACTGGACTTTCTAAACATTTATGTATGTAAATTGATACGACATATTAAGCTGACGTTTGAGAGAGTCCTCCATTTCGATGAACTCCTCCACTTGTATGTATGTATAACAAAAAAAATATATATATAAACAACTAAATTTTGAGCCCTTAAATATTTATGTTCAGCCTAAAGTGAAGCTTTCGAAAGCTTATAATCATGAAAAGTGGAGCACTCAAGGATAACACCAAGTACCTGTGAGTAATTCTTGACAGCAAGCTTACGTGAAAGCTAAATATTAAGGAAAGGATGTAAGAGGCCAGTGGTGACCTTCACGCATGTAAAAAAATGCTGGGTACCACATGACCTCATTCATTACTGTTACACAGCGGCAGTTAAGCGAATATTGCTCTACGGCGCTCTGGTGTGGTAGACCGAGGCTAGCAAAATCGCGTATGGAACCAATTAAAGATCATTCCAATGGCGGCTCTTGGAATATTACATGATCCACCACTACCAATCGACATCACACCGCGGTAAAATCAACCTCTCGAATCAACTCAAAAAGTTGAATTCAGTTGGTTTAACTACTTCTAAAAATGTATAGGCGTTTTTGTATCAAAACGGTATTGTCAAAATCGGTCAACTCTTCGTTTTCAGAACTGGCTTAATCGATCACTCTTATTTTTCTAATCTCCTCAGATTATTTCTTAGGCATTCGTTGGAGGAGTAAGATTTAAAAAATAAATTGTTGCGAATTTGTGAGCCGATAAAACTCTAAATTTTTTTCTTGAAGCTCCAAATGCGACCTATGCAGAATTAAGAGCCATCGCCTCACAAGGTTCTGAAAAAAATGTTTCTTGTTGTTGAAAAAATTTTAAGTAAAAAAGTAATAAATAGAGATCTTAAACTTTATGTGCACCAACATGACCTGAAATGATCAGCGCGACACCTTTCCGGCGTCAATTCGCTATACGTCGTATTTGAAAAGAAAACAGCAGAAGCAGCAATTTTGAGGAGCACAAAAATGTAGTTTTTGTAGATTTATTATAAAAAAAAAATTGTAACATTAAAAACATTGTTTTCGTGGTTCCACGTATTAAATTAGTTCTGAAATCTGCAAAATCTGTCAATGAGAACTTGACAGTTATGAAAAAGAAAGATTGCTTTAAAAATTTCTAAAAGTCTTAAGATCAATCTGAAAACAAATTAATTTTTTCTATTTTAAATTTTTTACATCAAATATTAGTTTTTTTTTTGCTTTTTTTAATTTAGTTTTATTGTATTTTTTGATAAAAAATAATCCTCATTTTATTAACCGTTATCACAAATAGTAATTATCTGCTGTGTATATTTGTATGTATGTGTATATAATTTTTTTCGAAATATTCACGGTTATTTACATTTTAATGCATCGTAAAATATATTAATTATTTTCAGAGTTTATTTTTTTATATATGTATGCACAACAGAGGATATGGTCCTATATATTCCGAAAAACAAACAACATAATAAAGCATTTTCTTCGAAAATATAGCCCAAAGTGTACTCCGATAATCTGAATTTTTTTATTTATTTATTTTTAGCAAAAAAATTAAAAATTCATTACATTAAAGTTGAAATAAAATAAAAATATTTGAGTACAAAAAATAAAAAAATATAAATTTTTGCTCACTGCATAAAATACATATATATTTTTCTCATTTAGACGTTGATTTAGCTTTCATTTATTGCATGTGAGAAATTCCAGATTTCTTCATAAAAAAATTCATAAATAAAAAATCTCATTAAAATTTCTCATTTTCCTATAAATCAATGCAATGAGGAAATTAAAGAAATTGCCAGCCGCAAAAACGCCGCAAATAGTTAAGTTATTTCTTTGCATAGATGCACGTTGACGTACATATATATGCAATGTACATATTTATATACGAATGGCTGAGAATTTAATAAGATATGTCCATCCATGGCAGACGTGCGGCTTATCAACCTCAGACATCTCAGCCAATTTTCAATTGCCGCAAAGTGACACCATTTTACACATACACGCACACAAACACTTACAGCCATAAATATAAATAAAAGATAAAAAGACAAACGCACGCGACGAACACACCCAACTAGCGCTACCCTCCTCTCGCACCTTTGCGCACATCAGCCCTTTCCATCCCAACAACACACTGAATTTATATATCTTTGGCACTCACCTTATCCTTATTGTTTAAGCTCTGCTTTTGCTGGTAGAATTCTTCGCGTGCATGATTCAGACTATCAATTAACGCCGACGTATTCACTTGCGGCTCGTAGTCCATGTCATTATTCACATTGCTGCCAGTGCCATAGTTGTTGTTGTTAGACAGCGTAGTAGTGACCGGCGTGGAGGAGTAAGCGGAAGCGAGCGAAGCGATGGAGGCAGTGGAAGCAGCTGAGGCGGCGGCGGCGGCAGCAGCAGCAGCAGCAGCCGAAGTCTTATCTGTGGACTGCGTGGCAGGCGGTGAGACTGAGACTTTGTGGGCCTGATACAGTGGCGAGGAAGCTGACAGTGGCAGCTGTGATGATGCCGTTTGTTGTGGCTTGGAATATTGCAACTGCTGCGGCTGTTTGGGCAAATGTGTTTGCTGTAACTGAAGCGGGTGTTGCTGTTGCTGCTGCTGATGGTGATAGGTTTGCTGCAGTGGTTGCGTTGTTGTCGTGGCCAATTTCTGCTTATTACTCACAGTGTGTCGATGTACACTCGCTGTGGTGCCTGGTTTCTGACCACGTTTCGGCGCATGACCTGTTTTGGTAATACCACCAGAGCCGGGTCGTTTAGTGGCTCGCGTCTTTGTCAATTTGCCGCTAGTGGTTAGCGTACGCTGACTACCAATTGTGGTAAGACCGCCACTACCATCCTCCGGCTCAGCTTTAATTGAGGCGGCTGCGATGTTGTTATTGGAACGCGCAGCAACGAATTGATCATCTGAATCGGTGGCATCGGTGAGGGGATCCACAGTGGTGGTGGGATAATCATTCCCCATACCACCACCTGCTGATAACAAATTTTCTGTGGTGTCCTCTTTTTCATTGCTATCCGTGGCGCTCTCTGTCTGCTCCAACTCGTCGCTGGCTGCATTGTAGTTGTACTCAGTGGTTGTGGGTATATCACGTGGCACCGCTGAGGTTTGTGCTGTAACAGCAGCCTGTGCGGCAGCGAGCTCATCCATGGAGGTTTGCAGCTGTAGTAATGTAGTCTCGTCCAGTACCAAAGTGGGATCAGTTTCTGCTTCGGCATTTGTTGAGGCTTCCGTGGTAGTGTCCGTACCAAATGGAGACGCTATGTCACTGCCACTATCCGTACTCACACTTTCAACTGGTCTGGTGGACGCTCTCAAGCGTTCACTTTCGTCTATATCCAACGACTCCTTGAGGCGCGCAACACGTTCTACGATACGCTCGAGCATATCCTTTTGTGACTCCGGCAGATTTTTCGTGTCCAGCGTGAGCAGTTTATTATATTTCTCAATATTCGCCTTTACCGTTTCGATGTCAGCCTGTATTTTGGCTGGTGGGGGCGCTAGCGTAGGACTATCGCCGGCGGGCGGTATGTAATGTGTGCGTGCGCGTCGGTTGCTATAGCCGACTAGCTCGATGACGCCAGGATATTCGGGGTGCGCGCTGTTGCAGAGTTGCAGCAGACTGATAAGGCAGCCAGCCGCAAACAGCAACGCCAGCGAGGATATGAATGAGGATGTCATACTTCAAAAATTGTTTCAAGGGCTCGTAAGAAGAAAACAACCATAAAACGTCGCACTATTAAAAACCCTTCCACCAAGTGTTTAGGTTTTTTTTTCAAGTGTTTGCAACAAATTTGATTTTTGGTTCAGTAAATTTGCACTTTTATTAACGCAAAAATGGAAGGCAGGTTTTCGATTAAAAAAAAATAATTTTTACCCGGAACAAAATGTTATTTCTTGATCTTAGGCTTGTTGAGAGCAGTTTTTGTTATTTCTTCTCATTCAAAAATTGTTTTCCGCTTTATGAATACCTTTATTAAATTTTATTTTATTTATATTTTAAATTTTTTATGTTTAATATTATCACTATTTCTATTTATTTTATTTTCGACTACTTTGAAACATTTTTCAGTTTATCTTATATTTTCTTCACCTTCTAAAATCGTCCTGATCGGCACTATCAGCTTTAGTCACCTTTTTTACACGATTAATTTCAATTCTTTTGTTCGCTGTTTCGTACAAACGAAATATAGCAACAACTAAAGCAGCGACAAGGCGTATTAGTGTCAACTAACTGTTCTTGACTGCTCTCAAGTCTTAAGCCTCCACCTTTGTGGTAGTTATTGGTTGGACGGTTACCTAACTCACAGTGCGCGCGATGCCGCAACGGTGTTATGCCTGCCGCAGCCACTCGACTTTTCACAGTTACTTACAGCTGAGAATTAGGCACAATGTTGCTGTTTTATTTTAATTTCACTCCTTTTTAAAGCACTTTTTTTGCAGTTACTATTCTTTTAGTTAATTCTTTCAAACTCGTATTTTCGGCTTAAGAAAAACCGCTGCATTGAGTAATAGTCAAATAATCATACGAAATTACAAAAAGAAATTTTATGTCCATAGAACCAAGCAAGCAAAAATTCAAAATTAGCACACAAGTATTGTAGTAATTCACCATAGAGTTGGAGTAAAAAGTCTTTTAAACGAAAGACTTAAGCGACGAACTCGACGAGCTGTAACTAGTAGCACCGCAGCGGTACAAATGTTCAGCAAATAGATTTTGCAGCGTCTTTTAAAAATTTTTTAGTCCGAACCATTATCAAAAGCCATCATCATCAACAACTGCTGCGACGACGACGGCCATCTGCAACAACAGAGTGCAGCTGAGGAGGCAACTTCAACAGCGCACCAATTGTATGAGTACCTGAGCGGGTACAACGTTGTGAGAGCGTGTGGAGAAAAATATTTCTATGAAGCAACATAAAATCACGGAATTTGTTGGAAAGCATTTTCCCAGCTTTGTTGGCCGTGACCGTCAACTTTGGTCATGGCTAAAACTTGTGTTGCGTTGTGTTGACTTTCAGAGATTGCTGTGCTCCGTTTTTTGGTTTGATGTTTGTTTCGAACATGTTGCTTTCGTACGTTTGCTTGGTGTTTTAGAGAATTTTCTACATTTCTTTGTTGGCACACTTCATGTTGACTTTTCCTGCTTTAACTAAAGTCGTGATTTCCATAGCAAGTTACCCAGCTATTGTTTTTTTTACTCCCTCTCACTCTCTCTCTCTCTCGATCTCTCATTCTGTATATTGCGCTCTCATTTTCCAAACTCTTAATGCTTTTGGGTAGATTAAACACTTTTGTACTTTCTTTTACTCCGACCTTGTGCGCTCTGCTGAGTACTGTGAGTTGCATCAACCAGCGTTCTCTATCTCTAGCTCGCGTTGTGTCTCGATTTTGCTGTTTGTTGCGAGCAACATTTGTGGTGATCGTTGAATATGTTGTTGACTGAATTCGTGGAATTCATCTAACTTTACAAATAAAATTTAGTAAAAAGTATTTTATTTTAAAAATTAAGTTATTAAGTTAAATTAATTCAGATCTAAAAAAAGAGTAAATGAAAATTAATTAATATTCAAAATAAAATTAAACATAAATTTCAAGTTCAAGGTCAATTTCTAGTTAAAATAAGTTTTTGAACTTTAACTAAAATTATATAATTTTTTATTAAAGCTAATAATAGAAATTCAATTAAGCTAGTTAAAAAATATTTAAAAAATTCAAATCAAAACTATTATTAAAAATAAATTTTAAGCTGAAATTAAAATTGAAATAAAATTATTGCTCAGATTACAGTTAAAACTAAAAATAAAAATAAAATTTAAACTAAAAATAATGTTAACATTAAAATAAAAATGAATTTAAAATAAAACAAAAACGAAAATATAGTACAAAAATACTAATCAAAATGAAGATTGAAATTACAATTGAAATTAGTAATAAAATTAAAATTGTTATAAAATAAAAGTAAAATTAAGATTATTAGAATATAAAATAAAACTTGAGATTTTAATCGAAATTCAGAATTAAATCCAAATTTAAATAAGGATTAAAATAAAGATAAAACTAACAGTTGAAACTGTATCAAAAAATTTAAAATAATAGATTAAAAAAGACCGTAAAATGAGATGTTGAATTCAATACTTAAAAATTGAAGTCAGTATATTAGAGAGTAAGGAGATGTTGCGCTATACATCTCTCTTGGGTTATAGTTAATCTATTACTATATAGCTAGAAGAAAAATAACGTATCGGAGAAGGCTTTGAAGAGCGCTCAAAACGCACATCTGCAGCGCTATATGCGATTTTGAATATACCTACTAATAACTAAAATCAGGTCATCTATAACAACAACGACGCTACACGCCTTAAATCAGCTGGGCACAACCGTGCAGCGCTATATCTGCGAAGAGAAATAGATCGTCCGCGTTTGACTCTCGCGAAATCTCGGACGGCTGCAAAGAGCCGACAGAGCTCTGAATCTTTAGAGATGGGTGAGGGGTGAGTGAGAGCTGCAATATACTGCTTCAAACCAGAAATAAAGTGATAATTCAGAGCTGCTGCAGGGGGTAAGTCCTCGCATAAGGGGAATACATATCTAATATATGTAGACAACTTTCAAGCCGTAAATTCATTACTTTCATGCACAACGCAGTTGGCTGTGGTCGCTTACTTACCAAAAAGACAATCAAAAGAATGGCAAAGGGGGCAACTCATAGTAAATGATTCCTTGCCAATCCCACCAAGCATACAATAGAACCTCTCTGCCCGCCATTCCTTGCATGGAGACCATTTGTAACGATTCACTGCCCTTCGACCACTACCATTTTGTTTACTGTTGCTGTAAGGCTTCCACGTTTCTTCGCCTGTCACCATCAGCTTCAGGAATGGGTAGAATTTTTTTAGGATTAAGCAATGATTCGCATATGGAAATTCGGTCCATGAATTGCATTAATTTTACCTGAAAGAAAGCTTTTCTGACCATCATATTTTGCAATAATTATGACGAATTTGGCGTAAATTTATGCTGAAAAACTTGAATTTAAAAGCGCAGATTTTGTTTTCTAAAAAAGTTATGTTTTTTTTTTTTGCAAAAAAATTAAACATTAGAAAGCAAATTAGAATTAACCGATAACAAGTAAATTCTCTGTGAAATAGAAAATACTAAATAGACAAAACCAACCCGAACGCACAGCATCAAATCAAAGCACGATTTACCAATGCAAACGCCCAATTGAAATTCGTAGCTGAGCAATGCAATGCAACGCTCATGGCTTGCCATTTATTACCGATGTCATACATATGTATGTTGTATGTATGGATGTATGAATGCAGAAATGTTTATCTAGATATTAACATGTGGTAATTTGGCTCGCCTTAAGCAATTTTCATTAATAAACATGCATTCAGTGCACATTGTTGTTGCTAATATTGTTGTTATTGCCAGCTTTTTTTTTTATTGTACTGCAGAAGAAGCGCCGCCATGCCATACACCGAGCAAACAAGTTAGGAAGCTGACTAAGTCATGCCAAGCGACAGGAACAAGATTAATGCGAGAGGCCGCTAAGAAAATCGTTGTCATACACTATTATACAAAGAGCAGAATAAGAAGAAGAAGCAGCAGCAAGAACAGTAACAGAAGTAGTCGAAGATGTATGAGGAAGGGGGGTTCCGGCGGGTAGTAGTTGAATGCAAAATTGCGTTAAAAGCATGGAAAAATTGCACTGTAAGTGAGTCAAGAATTATGGCCGAGCGGAATGGCGTTGAAACGCTAGGAATTCGCATCTCCGCTCAGCGAACAACCAGCATTAACATTCTGTAGTTACCATATATTCGTACATACATATACTTCCTTCTCTAATGTTGGCAAGCTTATGAGTAAAGGCATATGCCATACAATAATATGCATATGTATGTATGTATCTATATAAATTTGTATAAGGTGTTTTGTTAGCCGTGTGGTCATCAATGGAGCAATACTTTTATCAGAGTTGGTCTTTTTGACAGCAGACTTTCTTCGCAGATTTATTCCGGAACAACAGATGATAATTCCAGCAACGATGTTTCGCAAGACTTGTACCTCAGAGACGCCGAACAGTGCGCCGGGTTTTATTTCTTATTAAAATCCACGTGTCTAAAAGAAACACCCTTTATATGCACTACGTATGAGTATGTAAATACATACCCTGCAGGTAGAAAGTAGACTAGTATGCAAACATTCTAGTTGAATACTGGTATTTTAAAGATGCATTTTTACCAGTTGTTTTTTTTTTTTTGAATGAAATGATCTAGTATTTGACTAGTGTACCGGGAAAAAGATGGAATATGCAGTAGTTAGTGCAAACTTAGTCAGATTCGACGTTTTTCCAAAAAATGGAGAGGCTTACAGTTTATACTAAGCCGATTCCGAATGGCTGATGATTTTTTTTATGAGGAGCTTTATTTCATGTCCGAAATACACTCGGAAGAGTTGGCATTCCCTACCGAGGGGTGACCGCAATTAGAAAGTTTTTTTATTGAAATTAATTTTCTATAAGTTTTTGAATGTTAGTACGACACCAGAATTTTAGTCCGGGCCTTCCAAATGACAGAGAGATGACGCAGAGCTAACCACTCGGATACCTCGGCTGGTAGTTTTGTTAACTAACTATTTTTCCTTAGAGGGTATATACATACATACATATATATGCGCAAGCAAATATTCATTTTTCTATCAATTTATGTTGTTACAAAGCCCAAATGTCGCCTATATTTATGGCTAATATACAGAATATTCATGTAGTTCCCACTGTTTGGCGTGCTGCAGCTCCAAGCGGTGACACTTAATTGCGAATCCTGCAACGACTGACACTCCACTACTAATCAATTAAGTCTACATACATGCATACACACAGTGATAGTGTTGCTGCAATTAACCATGTATAAGTGGCTACATTTCAGTTGACTATAATGTGGGGCGCACGAGGCGGCGCT